GGAGCAGGTCATCAGTTTTACATTCAACAAATCATATTTCATTACAATGATTGTAATCCCTTCCATGAGCCAACAGTGGTGACAAGCAGATCACCAGGACTTTTATTCCACTGAACCACTTGTTGCTGTTGGTTTCGACTCATAGTGACTCTGTATAGGGTTCTCAAGGACCGGCCAGTGAGTTAGAACAGTCAACCCTGCAGTTACCAGTCAGTGACCCTACAATGCCACACCAAGACTCCCCACAGTACCACAAAGTGGGTTCAAACTGCCAACTCTTAGGTTAGCAGTCAAACGCAAACCATGTGCACCAACAACAACCTGAATTTAAATGTGGGGAAACTGAGACTCCCTGGGGCTTGGTAGGATTATAAACCTGAGTCCAGATCTGAACATGTTCTCTTACTTCAAAAAAAAAAAAAAAAAGATTATAGCTGAGAAAACGAGGCTTTCACATGGGGTCCTTATGAGTCAGAAGCAACTTCACAGTACCTACAACCACTGCTCCTTGTGAGCGATGTTGTTGTTGTTGTTAAGTGCCGTCCAGTAGGTTCCAACCCATAGTGACCTTGCAAAGGGTTTCCAAGGAGCAGCTAGCTGGTGAGCTAGAACCACCGACCTTGCAGTCCAGCGCATTAACCCACAGCGCCACCCCAGGGCTCCTTATAAGCAACACTGCTCTACAATGCCACCTACCTATTATACCAGTAAAAGCAAAAAAAAAGCATAAACCCACTGGCATGGATGTCGGGGAGTGGGCATGGATGTCGGGGAGTGGACATGGATGTCGGAGAGTGGACATGGATGTTGGGGAGTGGGCATGGATGTCGGGGAGTGGGCATGGATGTCGGGGAGTGGGCATGGATGTCGGGGAGTGGGCATGGATGTCGGAGAGTGGGCATGGATGTCGGAGAGTGGGCATGGATGTCGGGGAGTGGGCATGGATGTCGGAGAGTGGGCATGGATGTCGGAGAGTGGACATGGATGTCGGGGAGTGGGCATGGATGTCGGAGA